TATGTCTGTTTCGAAAACAAAGTTGCCCCTTTTTGGAAAAAAACACTTCCCTTGATTGTGCTTTTTGGGCCACAATAGTAGCGATGTTGATTGGGGTTTTGTGTACAAACCTGGCCAGCTGGGGAGACACGCACTCCCCTTTGATATTAGAAATGTCTCTTTCTTCTTCATAGTAATTCTCACTCTTTTTGTTTTTAGGGGGGCACTAGAAGCTTTTTTGGGGGCCCATAGGGACTTTTTTTTGCAGGGCAATCACAAAAAAAGGGCTTGATAATATGAATGTTCCGTTTGTATGTTTTGGAAGCGACCGCGGTGGTGGCTTGTAAACACTGCACCCACGGAACAAGGGGTGGGTTCGGGCCACACGTGGTGGTTTTTGAAGAACACATTGAGCGAGTTTTTTTGGGGCAGCCAGGCAAATTTTTTCATTAAAAATGTATCGCTAGGCGGATTTAACGTTTTCGATCTTTTTAGGCTAGGGTCCACTGTTTACGTATGCAGTTCGCATAACAGTAAATCTTTATTTTTTGTTTGAATAAAAATTCAAAATAGAAAGCAAGAGTAATATCAGAGGGGCCTGGAGACGTGACTGATGAACAAAGAAAATGTTATTTTAGAGCCAGGAATGTCTGCATTGTTCATTCTGGACCCTATTTTGAAATTGTCATATTTTTTAATTTTCGTGAAATTGGCCAAATTACAAATTTCTGACCACGTTATTGGGTAGTTGAAATCGGTAAATAGGCAGTTTCTTGTACTCAATCTATAGAAAAAAATGGAGTTCTAAAGAAATAGCTATGAGTTTGGTCGACTGGAACAATGGAATTAGCCAAAAATAGGGTTCAAAGTGGGCAAAATCACTGATTTGTAAATATCGCCGAGGTCGCTAACTTCGCGAAAGCGTAATGCCGTTAGTTTTCCATCAAATTTCGTTTTTTTTGGTGTCATTACAATCGGGAAAAGATTCTCTGTCATTTCATAAGTTTTTTTTTTTTTTTTTTTTGAAATTTTGCTACACCAGGAGACACCTCAGGATTGGGGGTTGCGACAGTCAAGGGGTTAAACAATATCAAAGATAGTTGACACAAACCCACTACCGTTATAGTAAGCTTCTCACTTAGTGATGAATTTATTTACCGACGTGGTCTTAGGAACGGAACTCCGTCGTTAATTGAAGAGGAGTGAATAAAAATTCAAAATGGAATTCATGTGTAAAGCCTGGGAACATAGCTAATAATAGATGAAATGTTGTTTTAGTACCAGGAATGCCTGCATTGTTTATTCTGGACCCTATATTAGAATTGGTATGTTTTGAAATTTCTGAACACTTTATTCTCAGTTGATAAAATGGCAAAAATTAAGACACATGTGCAACATCTGGGTATCTTTATTGTAGACGTTTCGCCATCCAGTGGCTTTATCCATGCAAATTCCAGGACATAATTTGAAGACAGTAAAACTATTACAGAAGATGAGGTAATCAGTCCCTCAGCCTTGGAGTTGGTGCGAAGAGCACCGTAGTGAAATAGCTAAGAACTGGTCAAATGGAACAATGTAATTGGCCTAAAATAGGACTCAAAGTGGGCAAAAATCATGGATTGCATAAATATTGCTGACAGCAAAGTTTGCAAGAGCGTAATTTATTAAATTTTCCATCAAATTTTGTACTTTTTGTTTTATTACCTCCAGAAAAAAATTCTTTACCATTTTATAAGAAAAAACACAATTTGTTTTTTTTAAATTCTTGGACATTGTGGACACTTCAGATTGAGATTAAATGAATCCCTTTTCTTCTGAAAGTTCAGTGCGGTTAAACATAAATAAAGGCTCCTTTATACCAATAGGTCATAGCGTGATCAGTGGCAGTATTTTCTAGCTAAACTGACCTGCCTCGTATTTTGGAATTACATTTATTTCATTATGATAGAGTGGATAGGGTAGCAATATGGCAGATGTTGCAAGTGTATGGAATAGGTAGTAAGTTACTAAATGCTGTAAAGAGTTTTTGTAAGGATAGTGAGGCTCAGGTGAGGGTGTGTAGGAGAGAGGGAGATTACTTCTCAGGAAAAGTGGACAGGGATGTGTAATGTCACCATGGTTGTTTAACATATTTATAGATGGGGTTGTAAATGAAGTAAATGCTAGGTTGTTGGGGAGAGGGGTGGGATTAAATTATGGGGAATCAAATACAAAATGGGAGTTAACAGTTACTTTTTGCTGATGATACTGTCCTTTTGGGAGATCGCAAAGAAAAGTTGCGAAGGTTAGTGGATGAGTTTGGGAGGGTGTGTAAAGTAGAAAGTTGAAAGTGAACATAGATAAGAGTACGGTGATGAGGGTATCAAACAATTTAGATAAAGAAAAAATTGGATATCACATTGGAGGGAGGGAGTATGGAAGAAGTGAATGTTTTCAGATATTTGGGAGATGACTTGTCAGCAGATGGGTCAGCAGATGGGTTTATGAAGGATGAGGTTAACCATAGAATTGATGAAGGAAAAAAGGAGGCAGCTGGAGGCAGTGGAGATATCATTTCTGAGGGCAACATGTGGTGTAAATATTATGCAGTGTGTTCATTATGTGAAAATTGGGACGAGGTGTGGCGTTGCTAAAACTATTAGTCAGAGGGCTGAAGAGGGGTTGTTGAGGTGGTTTGGTCATTTAGAGAGAATGTAACAAAGTATAGAATGACCTGGAGGGTGTAGAAATCTGTAGGGGAAGGAAGGCAGAGTAGGGGTCATCCTCGAAAAGTTTGGAGGGAGGGGGTTGGACTTCCAGCAAGCATGCACGAGTGTGTTAGTAAATGGAGATAAATAGTTTTTGGGACCTGACAGGCTGTTGGAGTGTGAGAAGGATAATATTTTGTTAAGGAATTCAGGGAAACCAGTTAGCTGGATTTGAGTCCTGGAAATGGGAAGTACAATACCTGCACTTTGAAGGAGGGGTTTGGGATATTTGCAGTTTGGAGGGACGTCTAAGCTGTTGTGCCTCTGCAAAGATGGTAATTATATATGAGTGATGGTGAAAGTGTTGAATGACGATGAAAGTTTTTCTCTCTTTTTGGGTCACCCTGCCTCAGTGGGAAATGGCCGACGTGTTAAAAAAAATTACAGTATGTATTACCATGTCTCGTTGGTGACGTTTTTTGTGTCCCTACTTTAAAATTGTAGCATAAAACTAAAACCAGTTTGTGTATATCATTTATACCCTCTCTTGTTATTGAATGTTTAGATCACACAATTACATATATACAACCCATCCTTATTTGATATTTGTTTTCCTGTGCATTACCTGGCATCATTTTCTGTGTTTTTAATTGGTTAGTCAGAGTAAGTTACACTAACCTATGTGCTTTATGCAGAATATATCATTTACCATGGAGCTGTGCAACTGGTAAAATCTTGTAATTAACAAAAAGGCACAACATCAACTGAACAATGCACAAATAACCTGCATGTAGGAGAGGGGAGCTTGTGACAATGTTTCGGTCTGACTTGAACCATTTACTACGTCACACTAACAGAAAGGAGAGGAGGCAGTATATATTGGCCAGCAGACAGGGATGGGAGAAGGGAGGTAGTAGGAAAGGAAGTAGAGAGTTGGTGGTAGTAGTTGTAGTAGTAGTAGTTGCAGTTGTAGTTGTGGTGGTGGTGGCAGAAGTAGTAATAGAAGTAGTAGTAGTAGTAATCAGTCAAAGATTAAGAAAGAGGAACACTGCAAGGGAGCTAGGAGCCCACAAAGGGTAGGAACAAAAATACAGAGGGGAGGGAGGGGGGATAAAATAATAAAGAACCAAACACCAAGGCAGAAGAAAGAAATCTCAAAGGAGGAAGAAAAGAGGAAAGAGGAAGAGGGAGAAGGAGAAAAAAGAATCAGGTTAAGTCATGGGTGTTCTGAAGTTTGGAGCATTTTACAATGTAATGGGAAAGGAAGTCGTCTACAGAGACAAAAACCAGGGCTAAGATTCATACTAGGAAAATTGTGTATTAGGGAGGATTCAAACAGACGGCGACTGTTAAGTTGGAAGTAGGGAAAGACAGTTTTAGCAGAAGACCAGTCAATGGGATGACTGTGATCTCTGACATGACAGAAAGAGCATTGTTGGTGTCGGCAAGCCTAGCACTACTTTTTGTGATCCCTGAGTTTGTCAGAAAGAGAATAGTCAGTTTCTCCAAAGTACTGAAGAGGACAAGAGAAACAGGAAATAGAGTAGACACCAGGAGCATCTATAGAAGGAGGAGAGGTATGAACTAGATTGGTGCGAGGAGTGTTAGTCTGGCAAAAAGTAACTTTGATGTCTAAGGAACGGAGAGAGTTGTTGAGATTAGAAAGAGTGGAAATATAGGGAAGGCAGAGGACAGGAGAGTTCACAGGAGTAGAGAGTTTGGGAGATAAGTTTAGGCACGTGAGAAGGCAAAGTCTATTTCATAGGATGACTGTGAAGGCAGTTTATTTCATAGACTCTGCCTTCATAGACTCTTGCCATTTTCTTTGACAGACTCTGGGAGCACAAAAGTAGTGTTTGGCTTGCCGACACACAACAATGCTCTTTTTTGTCATGTCAGAGATCACAGTCATCTATTGACTGGTCTTCTGCTAAAACTGTCCACCACTACCACCACCGCCGTCGCTGCTGCTGCCGTCACCCCGTCCCCTCCTCCCTAAATCCCTCCCTCCCTCCATCTCTCAACTTCCTTTCCTACTACCTCTCTTCTCCTGTCCCTATATATACTGCCTCCTCCTTTCCTTTCTGTTAGTGTGACTTTGTAAATGGTCCAAGTCGGACCAAAACGTCGTCGTAAGCTCCTCTCTCTTATTTGTGTGTTAAAATCTTCACATTTTTCACTCTTGTTGTAAGTATGGGTTGAAATACTGTATACAATAGAAATTCTAATTTCATAATTTTATTATTACTTCAATTTCCATGTCTTTAAGACATTTTGCTTTTATTTATAAGGTTTTCAATAACAAAAACAGTCTCTTCTTTATCTCCCTTACAGATTTCATCGCCATTTGTTTTCAAGTTGCTGCTTCATCGGCCAATCTTTAGGTGTGCAATACTTATGTTTCAGCAGGAATTTGCGGAACGTTTAATTGCCAAGCCTGGTGATAAGTTGTACTGCAGATTAAGTGTCAACACTCAGCTGTTGGCCAAAGTTGACCATCTCATGAAAGTTAGCAAGAACAACTTCCGACCCCCTCCTAAGGTAGAACTTGTGTATCATAATATATTTTGTACTGATTTCAATATTTTCCTTAGTCTTCCACATTCAATGGTACCTTGACTTATGAGTTTAATTTGTTCCATGACCAAGCTCATAACTCAGTTTGCTTGTACAGTGGACCCCCGACTTACGATATTAATCTGTTCCTGAGAGCACATCGTAAGACGAAATTATCGTAAGTCGAATTAATTTTCCCCATAAGAAATAATGGAAATCAAATTAATCCATTCCAGACACCCCAAAGTATGAAAAAAAAAAACATTTTTACCACAAGAAATATAAATTTTCCTACACACAAAAAGCAGGATACATGCACAAAATATATATTGTGTAATGAAGAATAAATGACATATACCTTTATTGCAGATGTGGTGATGAGTGATGGGATGGGAGAAGGGGAGATGATGGAGGTTTATTATTTTTTGGAAGGGGAATCCCCTTCCATACGGACTTTAGGTAGCAAGTCCTTTTCCGGGGTTACTTCCCTTCTTCTTTTAATGCCACAGGGTGATTTTCTTCCATAAAGGTTTGCAGTTCAACCCACTTTGCACACATTTCCTTAATCTTTGAAGAAGGCAACTTCCTCAATTTCTCTCTTCCCTTGTCTGAAGCAGTTTGCTCAGTTGTGGCCTCATGTTGTTGCAGATGCTCTTGCAGCTCATCAGTGGTTAGTTCTTCACTGTTGTCCTCCACTGACTCTTCCACATCCTCCCCACTAACCTCTGACCCCATGGACTTCCCCAATGCCACAATAGATTCCACAACTGGCATAGGCTCCTCAGGGTTAGCCCCAAACTCTTGAAAATCCCTCTCCTACACATTCTGGCCACAATTTCCTCCAAGCAGAGTTCAAGGTCCTCTTAGTCACTCCCTCCCAAGCCTTACCTATAAGGTTTACACAATTGAGGATACTAAAGTGATCTTTCCAAAACTCTCTTAGGGTCGGTCGAGTGTCTGAGGTCACTTCACAGCACTTTTGAAACATTGCTTTGGTGTACAGTTTTTTTGAAATTTGAAATGACCTGCTGGTCCATGGGCTGGAGGAGAGGAGTGGTATTAGGAGACAAGAATTTCACTTGAGTGAAGCTCAAGTCTCCCAAAATTCGCTCTGCCAAGTCTGAAGGATGACCAGGAGCATTGTCTAATACCAGGAGGCACTTAAGGCTCAATTTATTTTCCAGGAGGTAATTTTTCACAGTGGAGCCAAACACATGGTGAAACCATTCATAGAAAAAGCCCCTAGTGACCCATGCCTTACTGTTTGCCATCCACATCACACACAAATTAGCCTTGACAACATTGTTTTTCCTGAACACTCTGGGAGTTTCAGAGTGATACACGAGTAGAGGCTTCACTCTGCAATCACCACTAGTATTACTACACATTAAGGTTATCATGTCTTTCATAGGCTTGTGTCCTGGCAGTGCTTTTTCCTCCTGTGTAATGTAGGTCCTGTTTGGGATTTTCTTCCAAAACAGCCCTGTTTTGTCACAATTAACCCTTTGAGGGTTTCGGCCGTACTAGTACGTCTTACGCGTAGGGGTTTTTGATGTACTAGTACGCACAAATTCTAGCGCCGTCAAATCTCGTGGGAAAAGGCTGGTAGGCCTACATGTGAGAGAATGGGTCTAAGTGGTCGGTGTGCGTGGTAGAAAAAAAATCTGGGACCCAGTAGTGCATTGTGGGAACACCCTCTTAGTAAACAATGTCCACCATGCCTCGGGGTAAGAAGCTCCTCACTCCTTTCGGCGAATTGGGACACTTTTGTTCCCCAGTGACAGTTCTAATACAGATGGAAGTGCCAGTGAAGATGAGTTTCAGGGTTTTTGGTGAGGTTTTGACCGAAACTAATGACCATAAATTCGGTAATAGTGAGGAAAACCCAGACGACCCTCAGCCTTCCACCTCTGGTGCTGGGCCATCTTATTCACGTTCAGTTGTACCAGAACCCAAGAGGAAACTTCTATTTTCCCAAATCCCAGACTCAGATGAGAGCATGGGTGATGATAGTGATAGTGAATATGAACTACAAGCTCTTCAAACTAGTTCCAGTAGTGATAGTGAAGTGCAATATTCCCCAGTGAAGCGTCAGTATATACGACGATATATGCGCTCTGGTAGTGTGCCACATGTTATTCCAAGGGGAAGGAGTGTATCTCGGAGTACATCCCGTGGCTGTACAACAGGAACAGACAGTGAAATGACGATGATACTGTTGCAATTGGATGGAACATGTGCGTGGTGTGTAGTGGTGCCGGCGGTGAGGCACCAGCAGTGGGCCATGCTGCCACCCACGCCGCTGCGTCAGCTGATCTACAACAAAGGCCACCATCCCCCACTCACCCACCACACCAGCCTCCACAACCACAACCTCCACAACCACAACCTCCACAACCACAACCTCCACAACCACAACCACCTGTCATTGTCCAGTACCCACCAGCAGACCTCACCTGGGATTGGCAGGAAGCTGTCAATTTGTTCCAAATGCCCACCAGTTTGATGACAGCCAAAGTGGAATACGGCCATCTTGTACTCTTGGGAACAATGCCACTGAACTGGAATGTTTCGAGTTATTCTTTGACGAACCACTGATGGAAAGTATTGTCATGGAAAGCAACACATACTACGAGTACACCATGGCAAACACATTACTTTCACCAAAAATCACTCTACACCAGTGGAAGGAGGCAACTGTGGCTGAGATGTATCTTTTCTTTGCCACAATAATGCTTATGCCACATGTTTTATAAGCACAAAGTGAAATCATACTGGTCAACAGACCGCCTGATTGCAACCCCAGGTTTCAGTGATATAATGCCAGTGAATCGATTTGTGCTAATGTTACGTATGCTTCACTTCTCAGATAAAACCAGGCCTGACAGAACTGACAGGTTATATAAGATTAGGAATGTGTTTGTGTATCTGAAAGAGAAATTCAGTACGCAATTTTTATCCCTTCAGGAAGCTTGTAATTGACGAGTCTTTGATTCTGTTCAAAGGAAGACTCTCTTTCAAGCAGTACATACCAAGCAAGAGGGAAACGCTTTGGTATAAAGTTGTTTGTGCTTTGTGATTGTTACAGTGGTCTGGTATTGGATATTATTGTGTACACTGGAAGTTATACATTGCAAAATACCAGGAAGTTATTGGGCATCTCAGGTGATGTGGTTCGAACAATGATAGAACCATACCTTGGTAAGGGGCATATATTATATACAGATAACTGGTACACAAGCCCCTCACTCAGTGATTTTTGCGAGTGAACATGACAGATGTGTGTGGCACAGTGCGTGCAAATCGGAAACATATGCCCAGGTTTGACGCTGGCACTCGTAGAGGTGAGGTGCAGGCGTTTGCTGCCAATGACATCATGGCATTTCGGTGGCATGACAAATGAGATGTCACACTGTTGTCATCAGTTCACCCTAATGAAATGGCAGACAGTGGCAGGCAGCATAGAGAGAGCAATGAACCCATTCTAAAACCTGCAGCTCTGATTGAATTACACCCTTTAACATGCATTCAGTGGACAAATGTGACATGCAGATTGGGTATGCTGATTGTGTTCGCAAGAGTTATAAGTGGTACATCAAACTGTTTTTCCATCTTCTGGACATTTCCATGCTCAATGCTTATAATGTGTATAAGATGAGGATCAGAAACAAACCACAGTACGGCGAATTCTGTTTGTCTGTCATCAGACAAATAGTATTCAAGTAAACCCAAAGGAACAGCACCTGCAATTGACCGCCCACCAAATTATCAACAACTACCTGCTCGTCTGAAGCATGGTGATCACTTCCTGGTAAAACTGCCTGCTACTGCTTTCAAGAAGAAGGCTCAGAAGAGGTGTTACGTCTGTGCACATCAAAAAAAACGCCCACAACAACGCAGAGACACTCGTTTTATGTGTGAGGAGTGTAAAACACCACTGTGCATGACACCATTTTTCAAAGAGTTCCACAGGCTGCAGAACTTCTAGAAACTTTCCCTGTGACTGTAAAATGTGTATATTAAATATAGAAAAATAGTAATAAACAACATTTCATATCGTTTGTTTGTGTAAATTTTTTTCTATAAACAAATAATGAAACAGTGTTTACGCCTTATTGTGTAGTATTGAAAAAAAAATAACTTACAAAATAATGATCATTTTGGGCCCTCAGGGGCCCATAAAAGTTACTCAGAAAAAGAAAAGTTGAAAAATAATTGAAAATGTACATAAAAAAGTAATAGAAAAATACCGGGTGACGGCAGTCGGCGATGTTACCAGATGTTAAATTTTGGCAAACTTCACGCCTCCATACTCGGTAATTTATTGAAGTTAAATTTTTTTTGTTTAGCCTATAATGTTTAGAAAAAAGAACTATTTTTTCATAAGAAAAAATATTTTTTTTTTTTTTTGAATTTGGCCGACCCTGAGAACGAGTTTCGGAGAGGGCCTGTCGACCCTAAAAGGGGTTTTTTAAACTTTTGTTGGGGTTGGAGTACGCTGAGGTCAGTGGTCACGTGTGGTCATTCCCTGCCAAAGCTCTTGGGAGTTAGTGGGGCTGTTACAAGCACCATGGCTTGTTGTAGTGTTTTAGATCTCGGGGTCAATTTGTTGAAGAAGGAGATTCTACTTCTTCAGGAGGAAAGTAGGAGGCTGAAGCATCGCTTAGATGAGTTTGGGAGTGAGTGTGAGAAGGATTTAGCTGGTAAGGAGGAAATGGTCACCAGCAGTGATAGTGGCAGCTGCTTTAAGTGGCAAGTGGTTCACAGTTCAGGAAGAAGGAAGATGAGGGAGAGTTAATAGAGAAGATGTGAAGGTAGGAAATCGATTCTCTTTTCTCCAAGATGAGTATACTTCAGTGGTTAGTGAGGTTGAAGGTACCATGATTCCCTTGCTAATCAAGGTAAGAATTTTTTTAAATAGTAGGCGATTCTCGGTAAGATGTATGGACCGTGCATTTTGTACAGAGACAAAAAGGTCAACAGAG